AGCAGATTTTGGGTCACTGTTGTGGTTTTAAAAGCTCAAACTTACCAAACACCCCTTGACAGCACGTACACTCGACGGCCTTTTGATCCAAATGCAAATTGGCAGCTTGAAAATCTCGGGCACGCGCAGAAAGCAAAATTTCGAGATTTTGGGTTGAAAAGACAGTAATGCCCCACTTACGACTTTTACTTTTCTCTCTTTTCTCCTGCCCTTTTTTTCCCCTCTCCCTTCTTGAAGTTTCTCCTCACTTGCTGGAAATTTAATAGGCTTCATTTTCGTGTAGAGATTTTTTAGGAAACTACTCATTATTTTCAAAGCACATGCTCAGAAAGGTAGGTGGGTAATGGAACAAGATTTTCGTGCTGATTTTCAGGTCAAGGTTACATGGTTTTTTGGCTATTTCTCCAATCTCCTTCACTCAATTGCACTCATTCTGGTATCATTTGTAAGATATTTTCAACTTGTTCAAGTACGTGCTCAAAGTCGTGCTCCAGGGTTAGAAGTGATGACGTCACAAGGCGTAGAAAGCGTGTGGGTCCAAATGGGCGTATACAGGCACACTGGACGTCAATAGGTTAAAGAGTAACTAAAATTGCATGGTGACCTAAAAAACTGTTGGCAATTATGCAGCTATTTTATATCCCTCTCGTTTACCATAGTTAGTCAAGAACAGTACATCCACAGCACATTCTCTAAAAAGAGTTTGAGTTGATTTAACAACTTGAGTATTCTAAGCATTCCTCTGAAAGTCGGGTCTACATGCTCTTTGTCCTGAAGTCCACCAATGTTTAAATATGTTAGAAATTTTACTAACCATGTTGGGTCAGTTGGACACATTTTTAGTAACCAAACGTTGAAAGTTACGAACCACTGGTTAACGGGTTACCATTAATTTCGAGCCCTGACAGTGCTTGTCAAAGGGAAAAAAAATGTATAGTCTTTCTTTTATCTGTCTAACCAACTCTGAGCACTAAACATCAATTCACTTACAAATTTCCAACATCTTTTCCAAAATATTAAATTATACATTTTAATAGAGTAAAATTTTAAAGTGATGTTGTAGTACATTAATCAGAATTTTTAACCTTAAGAGCCAAAATTTATTATTGTTACAATTAATTTTTTTTTTCAAAGGGGGGAGTGTAGCCAAGGCAGTATACTAATTCTTCATTTGCATAAACTTTTTTAGTGACTTATTGCTCTTAAGAGCAGATCTGTGCAAGGATCAAACAAAATCGCAAATCTTCGGCAAAGCTGAAAAAAATGAAATTCACTTGTGTTTTGCACATAGATAGCCTTTAGTAAGTATATGAATGCCATGTAGCTTTTTCCTTTAAATATCTGTTAATTCCTGAGAAAAACAATGGAAGCCGTTTTTAACTTAGGCACGATTTGGCAATCCCAAGCACGTGCAAACAGGGTTGAAATTAGTCATGATTCACTTGACTCGCTTGTCAAAACTACTATGCTAGAAAAAGCTGTCTTAGTTCCAATTTGTTATACAACTTGCCATGGTCTAAACACCATGATTTCATAAACATTAGATTTATTTGGGTATTCAATAGAAGTAAGAAAGTTATGGCTCTCCCCTGCCTCGTAAAACGGTAGGCGAACAATAACGAAAATTTTGAGCGTGTACCTTTGTTTAGAATTTCGTAAGATTAAGAATGACAATACCCGAGTTGACGATCTTTCTGTGCGGAAATGAATGTGCGATTTTTAAATCAACCCCGGGACTGAAAACGAAACGTTTTTGTTTTTTCTGAAACAAATAGTTTTTTCAAGGAAAAAACTACACAGCAATTGTACACTTTCTAAAGGCTACTTGACTGTATGCAAAAGAACAGCGAATTTTAGTTTTTTAACTTTGCCATGTAATGTTTGATTTTTGTACAGATTTGCTCTTAAAAAGTTTGAGAAAAGTTTCATTGTTGAAGCTGCTTTCGACCATTGAATTCTATTTGATTAATTAATTAGGGAGCTCATGCAGATTGGATTGGAGGGGAGAATGAAGCATTGGAGGGCTTTTCTTGGAGAGGGGGGTCAGAGCGTGATACCACTGGCATCCTTCTGTGGAGCAAGCCATATATTAAAGTCCTCCCCAATGGTGAAGAGGTTTGTTATAGACACTTATTTTGATCCCTTGTCTGTGAAGATGCAAGATTTCTTTTTCCTAACTAATTATTATATAATAATACCTTTCATTTGTCCTTTGGCTGGTGATGAGAATTTGGTTTTATGTTAATGGTGGATAAATTAATCATTTCTCCTACATTTGCTTCACCTTTTTTACTTGACTTTGTATCAAAGAAGTTTTAAAATTATAATAGGTATTTCACAGGATTTCATTTCGTGCCTTTGGTGACTTCCTTCCAGGAAGGATGTACGTTTTTTGTTATGGTGTAAGTCGGTAACTCTCCCCCAAGTCTCTTGCAGACTTTCATGAGACACTCATAGCATTTCTTGTGACTCATCCCGGAGGTGCAGTTCTGATACTGGCTATTGGTAAGGAATCTCATCGGGTTTCTCCAGATTCATTTTGTTTTTTCGGGTTTCGTTCATTTTTTTTGTCAGGGCTTCATTTCTGCATTTCAACGTTGTTATCCAATTGAAATTCAGAGCTACATTGTCAAATGTTCACTCATGCGTACTTACTCTGAACATATTTAATAGAGAATTTAAAATAAAAAAGAAAAAAAATGGAGGAACAAGAAAAGAAAAAAAGACAAAGTAAAAGTAAAAGTTGACACAGCCAGGCGAAGAACCATGTACCGTATTTACCCTTGTAATAATGTGCACTTTTTTTCTACAAAAATAACCATCAAAATTGTGGTGTGTATTATACACAGATTCCATTGTTTGTCACACATGTCCTAATTTGTATGCATTAAAAACAAAGCAAAAAAAGTAACACATTTAAAGCTTAATTGATCAAATAATTTATTTTCAATGAAAAATTATAGGTGCATATTAAGTTTTTACTCTAAAATCAAGAGGAAAGACAAAAATCGCTAAATATTTTCGCAAGTGCAGAAACAGGCACATGGATTGCATTTCAAAGTGAATAAATTATGTAAATTTGGCTGCATGTGAAGAGATCTCATGTTTCATGGAATTTTTCAATGAGAAGCAAGAAGAAAGAGAGCAAGAATTATTTCAGGACAAAAGCTTTATTTAAAGCAGTTCTTGATTTGCAGTTATAAGGGAAAAACACGCAAATTTCTTATGTGTACAAAGCGCAAGCAATGGACTTCATCGCAGTTATATTGTTGTTTACATGACTTTAGGGCAGAAAATTGCATAGCGTTAGTTTGAAAATTCTAAAAATTCAACGATATGACACAAAATCTACTTTTTGGACAAATTGTTGCTCACTCATAATATTTACTGGGCCGTGGAATCGTCAAATTAGCAGCCTTACTTGAAGTCCTAAAGTTTGATTTCAATAATGTTATAAATAACTGAGTAGCAGAAAATATTGATGGTAAATTTCTTATTCTTGCTGTCTTAATAAATAATTTTGCGAATATTTAACTTGTCTTTTTTGCTGTGAAAAATTTTTTTTCTGATAAATTAGGTTAAAAACAAGGGTGTGCATTGTACATGGGTGCGTATTATACACGGGTAAATATGGAACCTTCAGACTCTAATTCATAGCACCAGGTACACAGGACATGCAAAGTGGCAAAGTTTTGAACTGAAATAAATTTGATCAATCCACATTTAATACATGTACCTATTCTATTAATTTGCTGCCCTAACCCTGGCTCGTCAATTGACCAGTGTACAAACTCAGTGTACTGGAGGCACATGCATTCATAGACTGGCTTTTATTTAACTTAAATCTTCAGCTAAAGGTGTAGCTCAGAATACAAAATTGATACACTGCCAGTTTTTGTTTTCATGTGACAACCTACAGAAACCTTGCGTCAATGCTGTAGTAATCTGATCTTTACTCTCTGAGCCAATGCATGTTTTGATGAAGTACAGCTGGATAATATATTCTCAATATCTGGCCCTGGTTATTCTAAGTGGGGACAACACTATCCACGAGATCAGTCTCAGTCCATTTTGTCAACACTTATCCATTGAATAGTAAATTGTCCATTAGACAATTGAGATCAGTCTCAATCCCACAGATAACACAGTCCATTTTGTTAACACTTATCCAGTGAATAGCAAATTGTCCATTAGGGCATTGTTTGCCCTTTGAACAAGTGGACTCTGGTATTTGTTGTCCCAAGATAAAGGATGTTTATTGTTGTCTTGTACATCAAGAAACTGGAAATACAAAACAAAAAAATGGCTTTGAAGCAGCCTTCACCCTTGTGGTTGACTTTGTTAGCTGAAGTTTCAAAAGCATCTGTTATCAGCTTTATCCATCCAATTGATCAAAATTGTTTACCTTTGATATTTATTGCACTCTCTTAAGGGAAACAGCTGATGAAAATCTTTTTTTTTTTGTTGGATTAACGTTTCATTAATCAGCTCATAACAGTCAAATGTAGACCAATGCAAGCTGTAAGTGCAGCATGCTCTTATTAACTCATTGGGTGTGTTGCACATGGAACTATTTGGCTGGTGAATCGTGATGCACATACATCACTGCATGGCAAGCAAGAGCTAAATGTTGATTGGTCCAGGCCAACCTTTCCCTCCTCTCTTCTTCCGTTTACATCTTGGGGGTTTTACAGCTTGGGCCATAATGTGCAACAGTTATAATAATGTGCTTTTTCACTATGTTTTTTAAATAGTGTTTTGTTCCTTCCCAACAGATTGCTGTACTACTGATGGACACGCAGGGTGCATTTGACAGTTCTTCAACAGTAAAAGACTGTGCAACAATATTTGCACTAAGTACAATGACCAGCTCCACGCAGGTGTGTATACTACTACTCCCTGGAGGGAAGACATACCATAGGCTGGTGAATGATGGCAAATTCGACTGCCGATTTACTGACATTAGCATTAAAGGAAAAAAAAAAAGAAAAAAACACCTGTTTCTATTTTTTGTCAATTGCCAAGATCAGCATATTCAAAATGGGTCGTTTGCTGAAAAGATTTGGAATTAGATTGACCCCTTCACCGCAAACCACACTGAGAAGTCCTTTGCAAGAGCAAATTGACTTTTTTTTTTACAAAACTCCAATTTTTTTCAGTTTTAGAGGTCAGGTTACTTTGCATCTCCAGTGCCAGGGATTTGACAGTTACATTCAGCTTTTGATGTTTGGAGTTTTCATTTAGGCACACAAACTGCAAATTAAGTGACATACTGAGTATAGTTCCACTTTATTTCCTTGTATTTCCTTAGGTGGATGTTTAACAAATTGACACTGGGGTGTAGTGTGCTCCATACTCTTATTGACAGTGATATTCATTGTCACAATGGTCAGAATGCAACAAGTTTTGACCACGCTAAACCACTGTCAATTTGTCTTTTATCAGAATGTAGTTATCCAATAGAGCAATAATATTATTTCAGTGGATGACATCTTGCCACAAGCACCGTTGTTTGTGCTCTTATTGGCAACAGCAAATTGGCCAATCAGATTGCAACATTACTGCCAATATTGGTAAAATATTATTCTTTTTGCATTCTAATAGACTATTAATTTTGTGATATTTTGTTTGGTCGAACCACTGACCTGCGAAGATCGTGCACAAATACGTTTCTATAACCGCAGTTCAGCTATATGAATTTCATATATTCGTTGTGTTTGATTTATCATCTTACGGGTTTACGTCGAATTGATTTGATGACCTGCTCCCTGTTGGCAGAAGTGGTTCCAAAGTTTTAGCATTGTTGGTTGTCATGGCAGCCAACATCTTTATTTCTAGAAGAATGCACAATTTTCTTACATGTGGTAATATGATTGGTGGTGGTCGTGACGGCCGTTTCGACAACCTGTGCGGAACTCACCATCATTTACACGAATCGGACTAAGAACATTCTACTGACAACAACTATTCACTTGACTCTGATCATGACCTCTCTTTGATGTCCACTTACAAGTATTTGTTTGTCCACTTACATCATTGGAAACTATTTGTACGGTTCACTTGAGGAAGATGGGCGTTTTGCTGATTGTGTTTTCCTAGCTCTATATGTTTTCTTATATGCATCACGTTTTCTCTTCGAGTCGTGCTCTTTTGATAGAACAGATTTGGTTTCAGACGTCATCAAAACTGCGTTATTACTGAATGGGATTGGTACAAAGTGCTATGGTACTGTAGAGACATATTGTAATTCATCTATGTGATTTAAGTGAATAGTTCGAACACCTTCAGTAAAATGCAATGGCTCAATAACATTCACTTCTGCAAAAAGTTGATTGGATTCTGTAATATGAATTCTAATATTTAATTTAAAGTTTTCTGCAATAGCTTGAATAACGAGATTATCACACCATGTACCTTTTTGTGACATATCTGTTAGATATCCTTTCCAGGAATTCTCAGTATTGCTTTCAATAAATCTCTCCGGATGTTTGCTTAATCAGTAGATATCGAACACCAAGAGCTCTGATATTCAGATGAAACTTAGGATCACCATATAGTTGATGTGAGACAGCTCGGAAAAAACGATCACCAACACCACCAACCTCCAGAGGTCTTAGTATTACGTTAGTGACCGTAGTAATGTTAACAGGAGTTTACATCGAATTTGGACATGTATCTTGGCAGCAGCGAATCTCTGGTATATGAAAAACTCTTTGAGTAAATAACCGACTTTTAATATTGTAACTTTGTTCATTAAAAATATCTTGATTTCTTAATTTCATTTGCCAAATTTCTGGTGATGTCATGAACTCCAAACTAATTTGAACGCAAGCATAGTAAAGAGTGAAAGAACCACTGGTTCAGATCGATATTCTTCCAAGGGAGTTTATTAATATAGGTCAAAAGCTTTTGGTCCTTAAGAAACTGGATGGACATAACAAGCATTCAATTACAATCAAAAAAGGAAGCACTCTTCATTTTTATCGTAATTTAAGACCTGTTGCATGTCAATGCGCATGGTGTGCATTATTATTTATTGCTATTTTAATGTTTAAATGTACTCAGTAAAAGTACATAACTATTGTACCATTTACAGAGTAGGGAATACTTACTTCCTTGGTGAATTGGGCACATGCGGAGTTCGAATGCAATATATTTATAACGATTATAGACAGTCGATTACAATCATGTAACTTGAGGATGAACTGAAGCATCATTGCTTGTCCTCTCTCGATTTCAGTCTTAAATTGAAGGGCATACTCTTATCCCCAAGCCATATATTTATCCCCTCTGTTATAGAATATTTCAGCAGTTCTCAGGGTACACAGTGGACCACAATAATGTTCATAATGTTCATAGGGGGAAATTATAAAAGGAATTCTTCTTTTTCCAACAATGTGTAAAGGACGAGAGGATACCTAAATCCCCCGTAATTTGGGTATCCCTTCCTACATGGAGTATTTCCCAATTTGCATGGAATGCAATGTATTCATTTCAACGAAATACAGTGGATTACAATCATACACATGGGAGAATAAAGAGGACTATGGTTTGTGTACTCTTACATGTAGCTTAAAATATCCCATATCCCTAGTTATATAGGTGTCTTCCCCCACCCTCCCTCAGTACTTGTCGACTGCACCCATCCCTCCCCGAGTACTAAAGGTGTGCCTCTTCCCTTATAAAATGGTCCAAAAAATGGTCCAAGAAATGGTCCAAAAAATAGTCCAAAAAATCGTCCAAAAAATAGTCCAGTCCAGTCAATATTTTACCCTATGACGGTCACCAGTGTGTCGCCGTACCAGCGACCACAATGTGACAAAAATAATAAAGATTTTGTTACTCTTACTTAGCAAACGACGAAGGGAGACGTGATTATTTAGATAACGCTGAACATGCTGCACTAACGACACCTTTTTTCGTTTCTTCTTCGTGCCCGAAAAGCAAAGGTCGAAAATATTGTAAATGCA